AAATTAAAACATTTCGTTAAAAAAATTTAAATCAGATTCAGATAAATTTAACAGTCAAGATTATCTATATATGATCGGTGTATTTATTTACATTCATTATTTAAATTTTGACAGTTAGTACAAGAATTCGAACTCCAATCGTCTAATCTAAGTTCTAACAGACTGTTAATAAATACAACCAAAAAATATTAGACAATGGTAGTAAAGTTCCCACCCTATAATCTCCCTTACTACGTATAATGTATACGCTATTGATTTTCCGCCGAATAAAATATTCATCAAATTTCTAAATTAACCATTTGTTATATAAATAACCACAACTGTAATATCTGTAAGCTATAATAGAAACTCAATAATAAGCCATCCTGTTATTTAATTCCACCAAAATAAATTGTCACAATTTGCAGTTACGCATATTATACATCCCGAAAAGTCATACGTCATCCAACATTGTCATTTGAAATGACAAAACCAAAAAAACAGTTCGACATTCGGAGTCATGTCAAAAATAAACATCATCACATCATCCATTCATTCGGAATGTATGCACCATAAATTAAAAATGTATCAATGTATCAAACCCATAAAGCGACCACAGCACTGTCGTTATCGCTGGATAATTAAATAGTAGAGCAATATCTAATCGCTTCAACCTCTTAGAAAATCGTTAAGTGAGCATAACATCTCGTCTCAACTAAAGCTATTATGTCTCAACATTATTTACATCTTCTTTGCTATACCGGCCTTTGATCTGTCATCTCGACCACTGCAGGCGAGATCACCCGAACACTCAAACATTTTATTTGCACGAATTTTGAGCTCGCAAATGTCGAATGTTTATGTGCACTGCCGGGACACTGTGCAGGTGTTGCTACGTTTTTGTTTTTTTACTGCAGTGTACCGGTGCACTTAATTAAACTTTAAAGTGCATTTTTGATAGAACGTAGAGGTCACAATTTATTTTTTATGAGATGAAGTTTTAAGCACTGTTTTAAATAGGTTCAAAGTTTCAAATTACGGGTTTTTTAGAATTCCATCGGTTTCTTTGATGGACGCGTGAAAAAACCGCGTTTTAGCTACATTTCTTTTAATTTTATACATTTTTCGGCATCATTAAGGATCTAATTAAACTTTAAACCGTATTCCTTGCTAACAGAAACTTCTGAGTTCTGCTATTATTTTTAAAATAAAGTTTGACGCTCTTTAACAAACCCGAGAAAGTTTAATCGAAAAGTTCGCGCATTTCTATTTACATACACATTTATTATAAGTGTGACCAAGGTTCATTAATTTTTGATTGGTTAAAATTTTACAAACTAAACTTAACTAAATTTTAGCAAACAACAGTCACAAGCTTTTTTACTTTTCTGTGTCTGAATTTTATATGTTAATTCTTAGTTTGATTTATTAATCACAGTCAAAAATAACGAATTATTTAGTATAATTTGGAATTTTATTTATTAAACAAGTTAAAATAACTGTCGTTATACTGGAAAACGGATTCCGTTGTTAATCCATACAGTGAGGAGAAAATTTGTATATCAACACTGAAATAAAGCGGAACAAGTCATAAAACTTTTAAGGCTGTTGTAGGCACGCTGCTATATATTCGTCTCTTTTTACACTACTAACGTAAGCAGTCATGTCTTGGGAGTCTAGATATTTAGCATTTCATGACTTCGACGGTAAAGCTGATGAAATGTTCAGAATATAAGTTAGATACAGATTATTCCAGTCCTTTTTGTTTAATCAGGAATCAAAGAAAACAAGTTAAATTTTGTGTATTCGTACCAGCGCATTCGGAATTAAATATTAGCTTAGTAATTGACTCCAAATTTTTTTTCCAAAAATATATGACAACAGGATTACTTTCGAGTACAGACTGTGTCATTTCTGAAGAACTCTAATGATCATATGAGTAACAACTACGATCTCAGAAGTTTTAGAACTTCGATGTTTGATTTAATGATGTCTACATTGGAAGCTTTGTTTAACCTGATACATAGAATATTCAATAACGACAAAACTAGACGTCGTTCTTTTTAATTTATTTAATATTAATTTAATGACGAAATTACCGTGTCGTGTTTGAAGGAATGAATTATCAGGTGTTAAGTAATGGTGTCTAATATGATTGGTTTTTGGCGGCGCAGCCCATTTCGTACGAGTAATATCCCATTTTGTCGCTTCAATTCACGAAACTGGTTTGAATGTGATGAATGCGCAACATCCTAATTAAGGAGGTGGTTAAATAATTTGGTATTCCTACCATGATTTCGTCGAATTTGGGGCAGATCCCATGGCTGAAAAACAAGCGGAGTGAAAATACTCTTACCACATTGTTTATAATATTGTCGTTAACAACCCTATGATCACTGCGAAGATCTTAAATCTTTAAAAATTATTATGAACTGATTTAAGTCAGAGTTAGATCCACGGTTTGTAAAGTCAAGTGTCAAGTAAATCAAGTCAAGTTTACAACATGTTGTAACTGCAACAACCTTTGCCTTCAACTAACTTTAATACCGAAATATCTTTCTCCTATAAATGCTGTTGGTTGATGAAATGATAAACCCCCGAAATTCGCCTTATTTATTGCTTCCTACGCTTGCTTCAGAAATCTACTGTTGTATAAATGGCACTTTAAATGTGACCCTAGATACTCTGACTTTGTTTCATAATACCGCTAAGCACTCCGTGGGCGTATTAGAAGATTTTTTTAATACAAAAGAGCGTCGAACTGAGTAATTTCGCAAAAATAAAATTGTTTGGAAAATTTGAATAAATTGTTCCGCACGGATAAAATAAACAGAAAAAAGCTTAAAACCTACATTAAACTGAATAAAAAATGTTCACGACCATTTAAATTTTAATTTAGCTTTAATTCATTCATTTACGGAAAATTTCAATTATATAAAATCGTACAAAGATAACTCTCAAATGCAATAATAGCTAATAGTACCATATGGTTGTATAGCAATCAACTAAAACTCACTAAATAAAATAGTAAGTAAATAGTAAAAATTAATTTTTTTACGCTATTTTATTGTTTATAGTTTTCGAACTCTACATTCCTTTATATTTCATTTCTTTAAATTGTATCCAGGAAAGCATCTTGGAGCGAAATGTCAAGCATAAATATACATCATTTAAATTAAAACCTGGTCCAGAGAAGCACTAATTCACGCTTTTAACTTGACCAAGAGTTAACCGATCCCGTGAACAAATTCAACTACTCATGGGTTAGTCACGCATTAATATTAATTCGAATTAAATATTTAGTTCGTCTGCCTTAAAGCCGCCATAAATATAATTATTTCGACGTAAAAATTTGAATTTTAAACAATTCTGGTTACTGCACGAACAAGCATTTTAAAACATAATCAAATAAATAGTGCTTCATATTCGACAATGAACATCAAGCAATTCCCGGAAAGGTTAAATTAATCGGCGAAGATAAGAATCTGTGATCACTTGATCACTTCCGAGCATCTATATAATCGAGTATCAAGTTAAATAATCGGTGATCGAGGATGATTCTCATTTTATCCCATGACGACGATCCGATCACATTATCGGTATGTTTTAAATGAGATGTCAACATCAGTGTTACCCTTCGTTGTCGCTTTTACCATCTAGAAAAACAAAAGTATCAGCAGGAGCGTTAAAATCGAAAAATTTACGAGAAAACTTGCATGAGAAAGTTTTAAAATTTATGTATAGGCTGCCTGTGCGAGCTCACTGAAATCAAAATAATATAATAATCTTAACTTAACTGATAATATAATAATTTTAAAAAAAGTAGAATACAGTTGTTGTAAATAGTTAATTAATATTAAGTGTATTGTTATTATTACTTTGGTGCTGTATAAAACTTGATTAACAAAGGTAAAAATAAAACAGTAGAGAAATCATCTGACAACAAGAATTGTAAAAACTGAGTACATTGGCTATGGTGAGAAAATCTATTTCAAATTTATAACTGTTGTCTATTTGGAACAGATGTTCACTGGGATTCAGAAATTAACATAAAATTAAATTTATTGATCTGACAGAAGTCGTAGGGCTTTTTTATTTAATTTTTTTTTACCATAAACTAGAACCACTTTTATTCTACTAAATGCAGTTTCAAAGATTTACATGGTCTCGAATATATTATGGACCAAAACATTTGCAAACTGTAAACCGTGAAGTACACTGACATTAAAAAAAAAGTCGTAAGATCTTACAATTTTTAGAAAACTTTTAGACATACACAAATTAAATAAAGTATTAGACATTTAGAATTAGCAGTCATTCTTTTCATGCTCTTAAACTTAGCTATTTATATTCAGTTGTTAATTAATGTGTCGATGAATGGTAATTTCCTGATTTTTGTTTATTAAATTAAAGTTAGAGCTTTTGGGAAGCTGACTTCAAGTGGTATTATGTTAACATCTAAAAAACAAACACTGACAAATTACTCTCCAAAAGTTAAACGATTATTGAGTTTGAGTGTTAGGCAAATGTAACGTTGTTTTAGTGCTATCAGGGTTTTCTCAAGTAACTCAATGTCATCAACTGTACAACGATAAACAGACCTTATTCTAAATCACAATGATTTCGATCTATAGAGTTAACAGCCCCGATAAATATTCTAAACTTCAAATGTATACTGCGTACACAAGTCCAAGAGATCCGTAGAATTCAATATTCAGATGTTATACAACATACATCGTTAATAAAACTTAGTTTGGTGATAACAATAATGAAGTGTTTATCTTTATTATTTCTTAGTAGGATATTTCACTTGACACTCTGTGAACGATGATGAAAATGCCGCGCTCGTAAGGAATGAAATATCTGGTGTTAAGTAATAATATCATGGGTGCTTTCGCAGCGCGGCCCATTTCGCACGAGTAATATCCCATTTTGTCGCTGCAATTCACGAAACTGGTTTGAATGTGATAAATGCGCAACATCCTAATTAAGGCAGCCGTTAAATAATTTGGCATTCCTACCGGGTTCTTCGACGTATTTGGCGCAGATCCCATGGTAGCAAAACACGCACACCCATAGCACTTTCAACACATTGTTTATAACATTGTCATTAACAAACACTCCTCGAGCCATCATCCTTTAGTCACTCGCACTGCGAAAATCCTGAATCATTCACCACCGCCGTGAATAAATCTGGGAAAACAATTCCTCGACGTCTTCGGCAATAACGCGAACCGGCGAACCGCTCTTTGGACCAGATTCCCGCAAGAAGCTTCCAACACAGCGGACGAATCGCCACTGCTGGCGCTAAGATCTAAGCGTGCGCCCGGCCAATAGCTGACGTCCCGACGACTGCCGAGCGCCCCCGAGGCACTAAGGGCCCTGTTGTAGTATCAAGGATTTTAATCCTTAATCAAGGCGACGAGATATTTCCTCACTTTGCGAGACAACATGCGAAGAAATATCGAATTGAGGACATCGCGGAACGATTTGGAGGCGCAACGCCGATCTTGGAAGGGTTCCCAAAAGATCGCGATACCTATCTAATTGCGTTCAAGTTTTTTTTTCCGAGGCTTCATAATGGACATTCAGTCATTTTTATGGGAGATTCCCCTGGAATAGAGATAGGATCGCTGAATTCCCGGCGAGGAGGACGGTTTGTTCATTACTTCCCGATAACGGTTGATTACGTCTGAATAAATAAGCAACTGAGACGAACGAATACACATCGGAGCTTTTATTTATATTTTGTTTCGTCGGGGAAACTAAAGATTTTTGCAGCGTTTTGTTTAATGGATTTTGTTATGTTTCTGATACCTAGTTCGCTGCTACCTACTTGTAGAGTTATGTTATAATGTTGCTTTAACAGGATTGTGAACCGATTACCCTGCGGCGACAGGAATGAAGAGGATTGAATCCACGTATGTAGCTATTTTTGATACGTGGATGGCTTTTTGGAAGGCACAGACAACGAATTTGCGTAAGGTTTGTTGGAAAAGTAATTTTGTTATAGTGCATCACGTAGGAAGGCCGTGAAATACAACTTGATGTACTTATTAATTTATTTTTAACCGCATTCAACTGCGCTTTTGTTCCAGCCGTGTTATCTGAAACGCTTGCAATAGAGATGTTTTTTAAGTACAGAAATATTTAGTTTTCGTACCTACATTTACGGAATAAAAAGTTTTTTTCGTATAAATGGTCTATAAAACACATAATTGAACGCCATGGAAAAACTACAGGATAAACTATGTTCTCGGTAAAACAAGTTAAATTAATACGGGGTAAATTAAATGAAGCGAATCCAAAGCTTGAACATCAATATTTAATTAACAAAGCATTGACTGAATATTTTAACGTTTGTCATCAATACCACAAATTAAATAATCGAAAAATTGTTCAACAGTTTTTTCGTCCCTGACGTATAATCCGACAAATCCCGCTTCTTTGAACACCCATAAAATTCAAAGTTGTGATTTTTTTGTGATAACCCCTATAATTGCAAAAATCTATGAATGCATAGACTCATGATGTTATGTACACTTTAAATGGAATGTATTGGGCAAAATCCGGTGATAACGTTATCAATTTGGGGGAGCGCGGAGATAAAGTTTCACTACTGATTTAGCAAGTTTACTGTATATAAATTTAAAATTATTTTGGCATTTTGAACCATTCAGGTTTGCGCTTCCGAAATTAAATATCCACCGTAAAAACTAAACACGGATTAATAAACTCCAAGTGCAGCAGCCTGTTATTTTATAAAATTTAAATAATATTTATCAAGCAAATTATAACATGATATCATCAATTTTTAGGCGGGACCGTAAACGGATAATTTTCAGTGCATGTCGTTTTGCAGTTTGAAAGTTAAATTGTAAAATTTTGTTATACAATTTTGGTTTTTCTCTAAAAATCTAGGGCAAAAAGTAAGACGGATTCATAAACTATACGTAGAGAGGTATGTAATTTTATAAAATTTAAACAAGACTCACTATACACAATTTTGAGGTGACGTGATCACACTATTGGTGGGAAGGATTAGACTAAGTTTGGTTAGCGTCTCCCCATCTACATGTTATTCATAACACACATAAAATTTGACAACAATCGGTCCTGTATTTTCGGAGATTATTATCTTTCTAATCAAAATTGGCAAAGACGGCAAACAGCCAGACGGAAACGGGTGACCTATTTGTCCCTACCGAAAGATTATGAAATGTCGAGAAAACATGAAAGTAGCCATTCGTCCTATTTTAACGTTTTCGGAAGTTTGTTAAATCGTTATCAAAATTTATCTGTTCTTCATCCGCCTCCTCGGCCCGAATGATGATATCATCTTACGAATTGACCGAATAAAGGTTCTTTTATTTTTAGAAAATAACATGGTCCAGCACTTGTAATTTATTAATCCGTTTTGAATTTTTACCATAGATATCCTTTTTACTTTATTTATGTCTTAGATTCTAGCGCTTGTGAAAATAGAAATCAATACCCATTATACAGTAAATAGACAATGAACTACAGGAAAAAGGTGGGCAGAGCTGAGTTTACTTCTTTCTAAAGTCTTATAAGCAAACAGTAGCCCCGCCCACCTACCCCCTCTTTATTCCAGTACCTACATAATATTGTTCAGTCTTATCTTAGCAAGTATAGTAGCCCCAGCCACCCGCTCTCTATTTTCTTAGAGGGTACGTCATTTGCCAAAATCAGTCTTATACTGCAAGTACTATAGCAAAAAAAAAAATGAATCAAAAACTGAAGCGTCATAGGTATAAACGAAAAAGTTTTAAAATCCAATAATATTTGAAAATTCGAAAAAATCTAAAATAGTAAAATTCATAAAGTGAAATATTTCAAAAATTATTATTAGAATTAATTATTTAAAATGAAAACTAGAAAAACTGCCAATCAAAAATTGAAAAATGTAAAAATTGAAGTATTTCTTTCGAAAAAAAAAGTAGTAAAAATTACACTTTATTAAAAAATTATGTAATCATAGATTCTATTATTTATGGATAAAAAATCCAACTTTAATGAATGATCAAAACGAAATAGACGGGGTGGGTGGGTGGGGTCACTTTTTACTTTATTTTAAATTTTAGATTGCAATTTATAGTAAAAAAAAAAATAAGACAATGAAATACAGAACTGAGTTTGCCTTTCTTCTAAAGAGTTTTATAAGCAAGCAGTAGACCGCCCACCCACCCCTTTTTATTCCAGGGACTACTCTTAATATTGTTCAGTCTTAACTTAGCAAGTAGTAGCCCCGCCCACCCACCCTTTATTTTCTTAGGGGGTATGTTACCTGGCGAAATTAGTCTCAACTTAGCAAATAATAAGCCCGCCCAGCCGCCTTCTATTTTCTTTCCTAAGAAAAAAAAATGAAAAATTGAAAATTTCCAAATAGAAAAATTGAAGAAACGAAAAACTAAAAAATTGTAAAACTGAAAAATTAAAAATTGGAAACTCGAACAGTTGCATATCGTAAAATTTGAAAAAAGGAAATAAAAACCGAAACGAAAAATTGGTGCTTAATTGAAAATTTGAAGAAATAACAAAATGAAAAGTCGTATAAACGAAAAATTTTTAAAATCCATTAATATTTGAAAAATGGAAAAAGTCTAAAATCGTAAAATTCATAAAGTGAGCTCGGCTCACAACGAATTAGAAAATTCATCACAATTGAGATATGTAGGTACATTCACGACAAGAAACTGAAAACTTGTTTAAAATGGTAGATAAATTTTTAGAGAAGTGTGGGAGACAAAATTTACCATTTTAAACATGTTTTCAGTATTTTGCTGTGAAGAGTATGTATATTAAGACGAATAAAGAAGTCAAATCATATGCGCCGCCCACCCGCCCTGTCTCAGTTGCGACGATATTTCTTTATTCGTTGTGAGCAAGCACGCGGAGCTTAATTGCGTTATTATTTTTACAGATTCTTCAGTTTTCGATTTTACGATTTTCCAATTATTCCATTTTTTGCTTTGTTAGTTCTCCGATTTTACAATTTTTTGGGTTTCAAAGTTTTAATTTTTAATTGTTCAACAAAAGGACAAATTTATTCAAACTGAACTTTTGAAAAACCAAAAAATTGTAACACTGAAACATCAAAAAACAAAATAACTGAAAATCGAGAAATTGAAAAAATCTACAAAAAGAAACAATTTTGCAGTTTTTCGATGTAAAATGTTTTAAATTCTCTCATTTTTTAATTCTTTTGAAATTTTGAAAAATTTAAAAATCAGCAAATTGAAACGTCTAAAAATTATAAATTTAAAAAATCAAAAAATTTAAAAATTGAGAAGAATTGACAAAATAAAGAAAAATTGAAAAAACCGATTTGAAAAATGATACTTGAAATATCGAAAATTTAAAATTGAAAAATCTAAAACTGAAAAAATGAGAAATTAAACAAGTGGATAATTGAAAAAACAATTGAAAAATCAACAAATTGTAATATAGAAACATGAAAACCCTGATTAATAAAAAAACGAACATCAAAAAACAAAACAATTGAAAATCGAGAAATTGAAAAATCGACTAAACGCAACGATTCTGCAATTTTTCGATATAAATTTTCGATTTTTATTTCTTAATTACCTCGATTTGTCATTTTTTAAATGTTCAACAAAAGGACGAATTTATTCAAATCGAAATTTTGAATTGAATTGAAAAATCAAAAAATTGAAAAATCGAAGAACTGAAAAAATAAAGAAAACTTGAAAAAACCGAAAAAATGAGACTTATAAAATGAAACTTGAAATATTGAAAAATTTAAAGGTTGAAAAATCGAAAAATGAAAAAATTGAACAATGGGATAATTGAAAAAACAATTGAAAAATCGAAAAATTGTAATATTGAAACCTGAAAACTCGGATTAATTAAAAATCGAGAAAGTGAAAAATTGAAAAAACAAAAAACAATTCTATAAATTTTTCTACAAGACATTACCAAAACGATAGCAATAATATATTTCTGCTTCAATCCCACGCACCCCGTCTTGTCACAACAGGTTCTGGAGGCAACCGACAGACCAGTAAGTCTTCCCGGAAGCCTTGGACCCTCAAATGACCTTTAAGAAATACTTCCCTTACGTTGGAAGTTAAACCATTGACACCTTCATATTGATTCCGGATAACTTCAGCTACTAAAATGTTTGATATATGCTAAAAATTTGCAAATATCATTTTGATGATTTTGGAAAATGACAACAGTTTAATGGGGAATCGCTAACATTTTAAGGATATCGTAAACATGATAAATCACTAATTAAACTTTA